GTTATATACAGCACAAATACAAAACACACACACACACACGTGTGTGTGTGTGTGTGTGTGTGTGTGTGTGTGTGTGTGTCTTATATTATGGAAGGACCAGCATGTTTGCTTCCTATGGATAGTTCCATTCTAAGCCAGCACCATAGTGCCAGAATGGAGTAGCCACTAGAATGAGGTTTATACATTACCAACATAACTTTCAATGTAGAATTTTTCAGATTACACTACCTAGTGCAGTTTTAGTGAGACAAAAGATTTTTATGAACTACTTGAAGAAATGGCAGATATTTATGTGAGACCAATCTTTCCAACTGTTGATGCTCTGAGCCACTGAATGAAAGATGAGGAACTATAAATGTTCATCTGGTTTGAGTTTAGTGAAATGTGCAGAAAAGGTTACATGTTTTCAAGGACCTTATGCCTAAGTACTAGATTGTAGCACAATTTATTATACAAATCAAGGTTTTTATTGCTCAGCTTTGTTGAGTTGCCAGTTGGGACAAAGAACATAATGTACCTTTTCATCCCTATCAAACAAATTAAGAAAGCATTTAGTTCTGCTTAAACTATGAAGTATTGAGGAAACTTGTAATTAAATCCAGAGAGCATGTATGGACTTGCTGATACTACCTTTGTATTTAAGGTAATCAATTTTAAAATGGCAACACAGTTTTCCAACCTACCAGTAATCTATAATTATCACAGAGTTCTAGAGCCATCATCTTATTAGAATCCCACAAGGTTGATTTTCTAGGTCAGCACCTTCTATCATATGTGTGCGTCCCAATGTAAATCTTCCTTGTGGTTAGTATGCTTCCTATTATTGTGCAGTCAGATTGTGCTTTTTATTATCTTGTTTCAAGATAATTTTAGCCTTATGTTCCATACACCCAGACATTAGATGTATATACAAGAAGATGCTTTGTGTTAACTTTGGAGAACTGATCAAATAAATATTCCAAACAGTGTATTGAATTCAGGTGACAGTTAATCTCTGATGAGATATTGCCCCATAGCCTTGAACTCTGCAGTTGGGTCTTTAATGCCACTTAAATCAGAATGTAAGAACTGAAGGAATTCCAGGAATGTGGTGATATAAACTGTATTTTTAGAGCTGTGAATGACTTGTGAGAGCGAATCAGCACAGTGACTAAAGATAGGACAAGTCAGTTTTTCCATGATTTATCACAAGAACTTTCACCCTAAGTAAAAGTCATTTAATGTTGTGATAGTAGCACATACACAGGCTGGCAAGATTTTCAAATCAAGTACTTCATGGCATGTTTTTTTTTGCATAAGACAACATTTTCATAACGTTTGAGAATTTCAACTTTCATTTAATCTGCATGGAAGCACAACAAAGCATAACATAAGCAACATGTTTGTGTGGCCATATAAGAGCTACATAAAATATATTCCTTTTAAGATTACAATCAAATCACTTAAATATCATCTTGCATTCTATCAGCCCAATTTGACCCCAAAGCCTAATTTTAATGATATTGTCCAGAACACAACATTTTTCCTGTGAAACATCTTCTCGGAGTAGTTGTGAAAAAGAGATTCTTGAACTTACTATATTAAATCTTGACTTTTCATTTGTGGGCAACATACGTTTTATATCTGACTCTGAAATGTGATTTTAAACAGTGGCTAAATTTAAAAATAGGATCAAAATACTGAATATTTCTAATTAATGGTCTTTAGTAGTGTGATTTACTATTTGAGGGAAATTAGTCTTCAGAAAGAATCTTTCTACATTATAATTTTCAAATACAGTTATGTTCCACACCAATTCAGTACTAGTTTACATTTTTAAAAACAAATTTCATACATGCACAAGATTCTGCCAGATACAACTTTGCCATATCAGTAATTCCAATACATGCAGTTTATGAATGTATATGTGCAGGGGTGGGTTGCTGCTGGTTTTACCACCATTTCGCAACCCGTGCACACGCTGGATGCACTCTGCATGCACACACTCTTCAGTGTAAATTGTTCTTAGCACATGCACAGAACAATTTACAGTGAACTGTGCATGCGCAGTCACTAAAAACAAAAATGACAGTGGCCCAGCAGCTGCAAGGGAAGGGGTTCAGAGGTGTGGCAGTCCTGGGTCACTGCCAGTTCTGCGACCTGAATTCCAATACCGGTTTGGCCAAACTGGGCCTAACCAGGATCAACCCACCTCTGCATATGTGGATCAAAAATATGTGCAGAATACAGAATAATAGAGTTAGAAGAGGCCTCAGAGGTCTTCTAGTACAACCCACTGCTCGAGCAGGAGACCCTATACCATTCCAGAAAAATGGCTTCCCAGT